ATTCAATTTGTCGTGTAGTGACTCTTCCTATAGTTTTTTTTATACAATTCACTGTATTTTACTTTTAACTATCATTTGATTTAACTTTTGTGTCATATTGTGTCAAATCATGCGATTAATTGTGTCAATGATTTATACAATTAACTGGATTTTTATATAAAATACTGTGTATTGTGTTTCACATCTAAATACTGTTATTAGTACCCTGTATACATACGAGTGCTTCAAATGATTATCTTTTATGGTATTTTATAATCAATAACAAAGTTTTTGATCATAAAAAGGGATTTTAAATACAAACAAACAATTAGTTTAGTTTTGAAAATTGGTTTTGAAAATGATTTCTGAATGCCATTAAAGTTCAGAGATTTTCACAAATAATTTGTTTGCTTTGATAAATATTTGCTATTGTTTTTAATGGTAAATACAGTATTATACTCAAGACTTGTTTAATAAATAATGAAATAGTTAGCCTGTTTTTTCACTTACTATTTAGTATTAAATAAGTTTATAATTAATGAATCGGAAATATCTGTCCAAAAATTCATAAATACTTTTTGGAAAAACGGCTGAAACTTATGGTTTAGAAAATTCATTATAGTTTTTGGCTGGATATTAACCATCAGTTCATACGAGTTCTTATGAATTCTTAATCCATTAATTATATGTATTATGTATTCAACCGTATATTCAGTGCAACAAAAAATAATTCATTATTAAGTTTGCTAATCTCTCTCTCTCTCTCTCTCTCTCTCTCTCTCCAACCAAAAAGAAAGTGAGACTAAAAAATTGTTTATCATTTAAATTATAATAATGAAGAAAAAATTCAAATTTTGTTGAAATAAATTACAAAATACTATTAGTGTGTGTGAAGAGTGCTTATAATAACTACTCATTGCTTAAGACTATTCTAAACACACGAAAAAATTCACTTTTCGATTAACTATTAATGGATTCCTTATGAAAACAATTTAATCTACTATATATTCAGGCATATTCTTAAACAATAGTTTACTCATTAAATATAACTTGTATTTGAAGTTTTGTTTTTACTTAAAAGTATAATAAACTGACAATTTTGGAAGTATATTCACCAAGTATACACCAAATTTTTAGAGTTAAAAGTGAAGCACAAAACACTGAAAATCAAACCTCAGGTGAATTATCGCCAAATTTTCTATAGTTATTCCGCACATTGATATCATAGGATAGGGAACAAAAAAGTAAGATATCGAGAGTATACAACTACTTCACAAAAGCATAATAAATCATTTATACTTTAGAGCACAGGGATGTCAATCTAGTTACTATGCACGCACTGTCAACATTTTTTACGTTTGACTCTGGAGTAGGAAAATCGCTGTAAAACATACACATCATTGAAAGTAAGACACAACATGTAGTTATAATGTTTTGCTCCTAGTTTTTTAGGTCTATTGTAAGAATTGACTAAAAATATCCCTATTTAACAGTCAAACACTGGGAATGGGACATGGAGATCTATCATTTTTTGGATTACAATTTAATATCTGTCTTAACACAATGAATGATTAGTATTCTCATCTCTCTCTCTCTCTCTCTCTCTCTCTCCCTTTCATTTAACTTTAATAATAATCATATTTAAAAATATAAAACGAATGCAATTTTCTCACCAAAAGGTCTTAAGCGTTTATCTCTCCAAATATGCACTGAAATATTGCATAACATGTGATGAAAACTACAAAAATGTGTTAAATTATTATTTTAGTCATACATATTAGGAAAATTTCATATAATTTAATCGACCAATTTTAACGCCAAACACTTTCGTAAAATATTAGACATTAAATCATTGGGAATATTAGCAAACGACATGTAATTATTTTTAATTTTCAAACTTGATCAAATTATCACTACAGTATTTATAGTACCGGTAATATGATTTTTGGTGGAAATTTTAGTTTTCATGGTTTTAGGTTATTAACTATTTATGAATGATAGCTACACCTAATGCTCTTCCTTATTACATAAATGCATAAATATTAGCAAATTAAATATATTTTGTAAATTAAATTTTTATTTTATTTATGAATTTCTTGCATTTAACAAATATGGTTGTAATTTGGTTTATTAATTAACAATAATTAAATTCTTAAATAATTTTATAATAACTAGTATAGAGAATATACTGTTGATTATTATTTTCAATATTATAGAGACATATCATTTATGAAAATATATCGCTGCACTTTTAATACCAAACTCATTTATTCACAAAACGGTAATTTACATATCGTTTAAGTTTGTATATCGTGTAAACTGATCCAACTTATTATATAATCTAATATATTCTCGAGAATATCTCATTTGAATGAAATTTTGATGTTTTTTCTAATTGGATATTAAACCCAAAAAATATTTTGGTTTTCAGCATAAATTATTTACAAAGTATTTTTAAAGCAATTTAAATTTGCTTTTTTGATATTACTCCTATTTTATCGCCAATTCCATTAACACCTAAAATATTTAATGATTAATAGCTTTTAATTTTAATATTAAATCTATTGGGCGTTGATTCGGGACATTGAATGACATGCATTTCCTTATTGATTGATTCAGCATCTAATTTGAATATTTATAAAAAATGTATTTTAAAATAAAATCTTATTTTTGTCTCACAATTGTAATTTGGAAACCTTCTAATCTATATTTCTGAATTTAAAAATATTTCAAGATATTATACACTTAAATGATTATCGACTAGATGGCAACCAATCTAAATTTACTAATTTATTTACTTGTATATTTATCTAATAGTAGCATTATTTAATAATAAATATTTATTCTTAACTTATTAATATAATCAAATTAAACTAATTTGAGAAACATTGTTTTGCTTATTCGTTACAAATTCAGCTAATATAAATTAGTTTTATTTATATTAACTTAAAAGTACAAAACAAAACTGACATTTCTATTTTAAATTGTGTTTGACTTTGTGACAGACAATTACTGAGAGTCAGTTTATTTATCACTCCCGGGGGCTATAATTATAAATTTATTTTAAAAATAAATAAATATAAAATTGTCTGATTATACATCCATTATATCATACGTATTGATGAGAAACACTTTATCTCTAACTAAATTCACCCCATATTATCCAATACTGTATTTACTAAATCTATTTAAAGTCATTAAATGCATCACTTGTTGAGACATGTCTTCATGTTTATTGCAATTAATATCTAATTTATATATTTTTGAATTGATTTGTCGACAGAGAAAATTGCAATAGTTTTACATTGATTTGTATCATAATTATGCCAATTACTGCTGATGTCTGAGTAGAATTTTTTCCAATCATAACAAAATCGTTTATATAATACTTAAATTTTAAGTCATTAATTATATCATAACTTTTAATTAATCATTCAAGAGTTGTTTGATTTTACAGAAATTTATATTACACATTAAAAGTATATAATAATCATAAACCTACCCTTTTTGCAAAAATCTATATCTATATGATACTTTTAAGAGATCTAATAGATAATTTTAAAATTTTATAAGTATTTTAAATAAAATCTGGATTTAGTAAATAGAAAATTTATATATATATTTTAAAAATAAATTAGATTCAAAACCAACTGTTAATAACTATAATATATGAATTGAAGCAAATATTTCGCAGACAAATAACAACCTTAAAAACTTTGCAAACTATTTTAACAAAAAATTTAATATTTAGTATCAGTCATTGAAAGTTATATGACAGATTAAATTTAAATAGTTTGTAAATACAGAGTCTAAATAAGCTTGAAGTTCACAGAATTAAATACAATTTATTTAATATTGTCTATTTTTTAAATTTGTCAGCAAATAAATTTATCTATGAAATTAATTTAACATTGTAGAATCAAAAGTTAAAATTATTAACTAAATTAAATAGTCGCTAAATTTAATTTAGTTATATTAGCTATTTTATTAAGTAGTATAAATGATTCACTTGACATGTACTGTGTTTAAATAGATTCACATCCTTTGAACTATATATGAATATATTTTCTGTATTATAAATAGTTGTTATTTCCTGAATTATAGTCTTATTGATAGCCATTTCCTCATTTGCATCCATTATTACCATATTCTGTGCTCTCTCTCTCTCTCTCACACACACACACACACACACTCCTTCCATAACAAACACAAATAATATTAATATTTAAAATAATATTATATAATTTAAAACAAAAGTGTATGGTAGAAATAAAAATAATTCATAATTTTAACAATTATTAGCATTAAAACTAATATTTTCTATAACAAATATACTGCTAATTAAGTAATTATGAAAACTCAGTGAAGGGTTGACAAGATTTCTACATTTTCTCATTTCTTTTGCAATACCAGAGAAAGCAATGTTTAAATATTTGTCATAATTTACAATAAATTTGAAATTTAAATCAAATATTACTTTCAAACATACATCAGATAAGAGAGATAATGTATATTTATTTATTTTATTGCGAGTGTAAATGATTGTTATTGTCATATAATTGACTCTTCTCCCCGTCAAAAATATCTTAATTATTTCAAAAAACAAATAAATATCAAGAAATTAGTTTTAAAAATGAGTTAGAATTAGAAATATATATTGATGAGGACATATTTTAAATTATAATAAGATCTCATGTTTTTAAAAACAATAAACAATATGAAAACAGACAATTGATGTGTGAATAACAAACCTTTTTGACAATTAATTAAACCTATGATTTGTTACTTCGTTTCCTTTGATTTTCAAATTCATTTGAATATTAAGTTGTGATAATCATTCATTCAATCGTCTATATTATTTGTTTATTTTTAATGCTAAATATAATTTATATAATTTTAATTTTATGCTCACGTATAGAGAGAAAATTCATAAAAAAAATTGTCTCAACAAAGTTACAAGAATTTTACACAGAATGTTAAATAATCACAAAAATTATACTAACAACTTTGATGTAAACATATCCAATCTGTAGGATTACCGGTAATATGATTTTTATTTTGTAGTTAATAAACTTTTACAATTATTTATTTATACAATGTTTTATAATATAGTTTTGTAAAAGTTTTATTATTTTATTTTTGTAAAAGTTATATAGTTGTCACATTAATTGTCGCAGTCTTGAGTGGTTAACCGAAATTTTTGAACTGAACTGCCCTTTGAACTTAACATTTGTTTCAGTTGTGACAGAGTTTGCGGACTTATCGATGATATGGTCTTATTTCGGCCTAAAATCCACGCATTTTCTAAATGATCATAATGAATTAATTTTGCAATTTCTACAAATCTATAAAAAATTAATTAATTTAATCGCATATTCTCTACAAACCATATCTCTGATTGAATGGCAAATTACGGCACGAATAGGTCAACGCATACGAGACATAATCGGTGGCCACAACCAACACATTTGCATTCATTGGTGGGACTGTTGTTATAATTCATAAATTTGTATTTTACGATACAGTAAGTTAGGAGTACTAAGGTTAACAGTCTAATTTGATAACTAAAATATACTTACATTCAGGAAAAATTTCCGTAACATTAGAAGGATTGTTAGGCTGCGGTATGCCATAACCATGATAACTTATCTCATAATCACCTCTAAAGTTTGATGGATTAAGAAATGTTAAATTGAGTAAGTAACTTATAAGTTATATGTTTCATATCTAACACATCAGTGTATTCATTGTGTGTTATATTGACAGTCCCGTCGGTATTCAATGAATAGTTTGCTGTTTGACACTTGAATCCCGTCTCGAAAATGTCTGGATATCTCTCCAATTGATACCACAGTCCCATAAACTAACAAATTAATTATTGATATTAAAACTTATCTTATTAATAATAAATAATTATTTCTACAGCTGGTCCATTGATGTCACCCATCGATTGGATTAATGGACATTGTTTTGATTGTACGCCAATTGCCAGTAAATATACTGTTATAAAAATAGATGTAATTTTAAACATTATTATTAAGAAAAATAATTAAGTTAAGAATCACTTTAAAACTTCTAAACTAATCACTTCTTAGCAGTTTAAATAATGATATCATAATTATACCTGGTGATAAGAATATATTCGCTATTTTATACTATTTTATAGTGGTACAAATAATTTTATTAGTCATAGTAATTATTATTCATAAAAAATATATAAATTTCAATGACAATATTTATTAACAATTCTTATCAATTCACAATGAGATAGCAATTTGATTATCTAAACATTTGGAATTTTATAAAATAATAACATAATCAACTTAATAATTATTAACTTTTTTTGTTTATTATTTAATACTTTGGTATTATTTATAATTTTGTACAAAACATTGCAACAATAGTTACAATATCAATAAGAAATATAAATGACTTTACTTTAAGTTACAATATTTACTTTAAGTTATTCAGTGACACATATGAATGACTATTAATTTTTAAAACAAATTTCTATTTAAAATAGCAATTCTGCAAAATACATAGAGATCATAGTAAATAGTATCTATTTTAAAACAAATTCCTTAAAATATTATTTTATAAATGAAGTATTTATATGAAAATGCAATATTTATGCTAATTCTCGGGCTTAAGGTTTTCACTCCTTTGAAGGGTATTCTTGACCTCACTTTTGGCACTACTGTCCCGCACTTTATTGAGATTTACGCGACTCGTCCCCGTTGTACTGGTCGACAGGCCCTCTGACTCTGTCTTATTTCTCCTTAAAACCAATCTCTGATGTTTTGCTATTCAAAAATCACAAACAAAACCACAAAATTATTTTCAATTCACACAAAACACTCATACGATTCCTATGCCTACATAAGCAGAAGTTGTTGACCACAGCGAAGGACAGGACGGCCACGAAAATGATGACCAGAATCGCGATTATAACGCCAAACACATAGAAACCAATTTCACTTGAAATGCTCGGGAATACACATTCAAATAAGTCCATCGCTTTCATATCCTATAAATATGCAGAATATTTAATCAAACAGAATATTCTTTATAATTAAATACACAAATTCTCGGTGGACTCACTTTTTGTAGTACAAGTTGGGGCTTATCTCTGCCGATAAATTGGAGTTCAAACAAATATGTAGGTCCTCGGGCATTATCGGAAGCGACTCTGTAGGGCTCCGCCAAAGCATAATAAGTGAAATCCCTGTCCATTTCTACGTAAACCATGCGATCGCTGGGTTTGGCCAGAAATGCAGTATAGATATAGCGATCGTCGAGTTTA